AATTTTTAAGTTTTTGTACTGACTCCATTTTCCTTGCTGCGCCCTTAGGGAGACATGGCTGCCCAGACAGACACAGGGATACTGACGGGAGGGGTATCTGACAGGGAGATGCTGGAGCAGCGAATACAGCTGCAGACGCCTGGGACCTGCTGATTTTCAGCCGGGAAAGCAGCCGGGCCCTCGCGGGCTGACGTCGTCAAGTAATAAATTGAAGGAGATGGGAGGCATAGTTTGTGGTTTGTACACTTTCCATTGTGGTCCTAAAACTTCAAGATCATAGTTACATTATTGCAATATTACAAAAGTTGCTGACAAAACAATTAAACTACTTTGTCTTATACAACGTCGTCAAGGATAGGAATGTAGGAATGGAATGAAATGAAATGAAATGAAACGGGCGAAACGCGTTCGAATCGTTCTATGGAAGCCATGGAAGCGTTCGATAACGGGCCGTACCGTAAAGTACGGCCCGGTCCGGAACCCGTTATCGAACGTTATCGCGGCCCGGGTATGATATACTAGTAAATGAAATTATTGTTTGTCCCGTCCAGGGATCAGGACGCACCACCAGGAGGTGCCCGACATTGTGCTCAGGCCGCTGCCCAGACCGCAGCCCAGACCCGAGACCAGGGCCCCTCAACCACTCCCACAACTGCCGGGGACGACGCCTGGGACCTGCTGGACCTGTTGGACCAGCCGGGCCCCTCGCGGGGCTGACGTCGTCCAGGATTAGGCCCGTTTTTGTTAGGCATGCAGGAATGAAATGAAGGAGATGGGACGGATAGTGCAAATTATAGTCCATTTATCGACCCCTATGTTTGTTTGTACACTTTCCATTGTGGTCCTAAACGCCAAGATCATAGTTACATTATTGCAATATAACAAAGTTGCTGACAAAACAAATTAAACTTACTTTGTCTTATACAATAACTTAATTTTTTATATGCCAAGAATTATGCTTAAAACCATGCCTGTGATTAGCCTGGGTGCCAGCCCCAGTAGTATTCGCCCGCTAGCTTACAACTGGGTGTGGACGCATATGAAACGTCTGGTGATGACGTCACGTAATGAGCTCACTCGAATTCGAGCTTGTGCCAACTCCCCCAGCATGTTATCTCTCCCTATGTGGCCAATTTCTACTCTTTGCAGCCGCCTCCCGAAGCCTGGTAGAGGACAGGGAAGCGTAGGAATTCGTTTTGCGACGCTTCGCACTTCTGGTCAGTGGACTTGGCGACTGGGAAACCCCTGACGGAGTTGACACAACGGTTCCTTTAGCCTCCGTAGCAGGCTTATAGAACTGGGGGTTTGGTGCTCTTTCGCTGTTTTCTGATTAGCCCAGCCAAAAAACGGGGGTAATTCAAGCAGGCCGGCTATGCTGTCTATATGCAATCAGAAAATAGCACATAAAAGCTCCCAAAGACCCCGACGACCCCCCAAACCCCCAGTTTTTGGCATGCTATGGAGGCTACCTGAAAATGTAGTCTTATTTTGAGATCCCTCCATGCTTTCCTTCGTATTTCTCTCATTAAAGGTCTCTCCATGTCACCCCATCCAGACGTACGGAACTCACAAAATCCTCCTTCCTAACAATGTTACTCTTTCCGGCCGCCTCCCCAAGCCTGGTAGAGGCTACTGCAGCCCAGATATGCCTGCCTGGCTGCCCAGGGTCATAAACTGTGACGCGGTTTTATATAAACATCATTGTCATTATATAGGAAAATTCTTGACCCTAAACAGTTTTCAGGCGGTGTTCCACCCCCCAAATGGAGGCCGCGTACTCTCCAAGCAGAGGTTGTGCAGTGGGAATGATCGTTACCTTTTTATATATGGCCTTTTTTTTGTTGTCCTGACCCCCACCAACTTCTCTGGCCATGGCTAAGGGACACTGCCTGTCCAATTTGATACTGTCTTTTTGCCACCGATAGGGATCTGCTTGGACTTGGAGATTATAGTGGCCACTAATGGATACTGCATTGCCACCGTATGATCTGCTTGGAGAGAATAAAAGAGAATTCTGGACACTGGGTCTGTCCATATATGCATATAAAACATGGTGATAATGAACAGCTTTGTCAAGGCAACCTTTCGTAAAGATATATTAGACCTAGTATAACATTTGTCTTCACATAATCACACAAATAGCTAGCGATCAAGTCAATCTTTATTGCGCAACAATTGCAATGGACACAATGTATGGCAAGTGTTCAAATCAAAAGATAACAACAATACTAAAATCTACTTCTAGATACCTTATTCTAACGCTACCCTATAATTGTGCGTGATGAATTATACAATATATATGGAACATGGATACAATGTTAACATCAGTTCAAGGTGTCACAGATGATATTGTTTCTTTTCCGAAGAGCAGAGGATATGAATTGGCCTATATACAAGGATATTGGTTCAGGACATGACATCAGTAAATTAAAAGTATCTGAGCTTGTCTTAGGTAAGGTAATGTTTGAGTTACGTGAAATCATATTCATAAGTGTCAACCTTTCTTCAGTATACATGGGACAAGACGAGCAAACGCTGTAGTGCAGTACTACTACCAGTCGCCAGACGTCGCCATTGGCAAGCAAGCCACTGTCTCCATAGCGACGGGCATTGAGACATGTAAACAATCTCAGCTGGGCTGGCTCCATTCATACATTTTGTGCTTCACGTGCAGCGCTGTATCGCCGCTGTGCAGACTTTGTGAGGCTGTTAAACTCAACCTTCGGCGTTCAGGAATGGATCAAGGGTGGAGCCAAGATGAGCTTCGGCAGATCGGGGAGCAGAGGGAGTCCTGGTGTACGGTGGACTCCAACGCTCTGCGCATTTGGTGCCGTCCGGAGAGGAAACACGCACAGCAGGCCTTCCGGAGCGATGTTTTCAGGTAAACTTCTTCTTCTTCTTGGGTACCCCCCAAAAAACACGCCTGGCCTTTTGCGGCATTTATGAATCGGTACTGTAACATCCGTGTCCATAATATCACCAGGGTCCATAATGAGAAAAAGTGTGCTTAAAGCTATTTTTACTGCAACATACCCTAGGTATGTACATTTGAGGTGTGCAGGAGTGCATACCAAAAGTATGTTGCAGTAAAAATATCTTTAAGCACACTATTTCTCAAGGTGGCGATATTATAGACCCTGGTGATATTATGGACACGGATGTTACTTATGTACTGAGTTCTTGAGTCGTGGAGCTTCGAATTCGATAGCCTGGGTGCTTGGCTCCGTTTTGTTGCTGACTACCTTGGACTACCCAGGCCTAGAGCCAGGCCAGAGGGGTGCCGTTAGGGGGGTGGAGGAGTGAGAGGAGGTCCAGGCTAAGCCGGGCAGGCCGCCAGCCCGGCCCGGAACGACTCAACATTCATGGGAGCCATATCTACCGGGCCGGGTAAGGAGTTCCACTGTGGGATAGTAACGGGGAAAAAAAGGTGTCTGTGCGTGTGTTTTGTAGAAATGGGCGTGGCCTATAACTATTGATTACGTCATCATGACGTCATAAAAATTTGCATAAATTATCATCTTGCAATCAGGTACTTGGAGAAAAAAAATCAAGATCCATACTTAAGTCTAAGTACTATTTTTGATACCTCCCCAAAATTCACCAGCAGTGCCCTGTGGCTACCTTAATTAGGTCGGTATCTTACTCTCCAAGCAGAGGTTTGGGTTTTGGGGGCATTTTTAGCGTGTTTTTAGTCTTTTTTATCGGGGTTTCTCTTTTGCACTGAATTTTTTTCCCACCAAACCCAAAAAGGGGAAAAAATTCAGTGCAAAAGAGAAACCCCGATAAAAAAGCCTAAAAACACGCTAAAAATACCCCCAAAACCCAAACCTCTGCTTGGAGAGTAGGTATCTGTCTCCAAAGGTTTATTGCAACAAGAAGGACAACTACTGGCCAGCTACATTCTTTTAGGCCGATTTATTTATCCTAGCTGCAAAAGTGTCTGGTGGAGACTACCTTCTATCTGCTATACAATGTTTCCAGCTTAGGCCACACTGCCTTAATTTTATGGATGACATCCGTGCGCGCATTGATTTTTGCCTGTCGCCCTCAAAAAAAACAAAAAAAAATCAGGCAGATAACCTCCACCGAGGCTCTGGCCTGGCTCTAGGCCTGGGTAGTCCAAGGTAGTCAGCAACAAAACGGAGCCGAGCACCCAGGCTATTGAATTCGAAGCTCCACGACTCAAGAACTCAGTACATATTAAGTACAGTACCGATTCATAAATACCGCAAAAAGCCAGCATGTGCTGGCTTGTCGTATACGTCGCTAAGTACTGTCACGAATTTACAATAACAGTTTTATATTCCTGTGGTTTAGTAGCATTTTTATTTTTGGCTGGAATTTTTTTAATTCGCCTGCGCGCACTAGTTTGGGGGTCTTCAGAGGTTGTCATCCATAGAATTAAGGCGGTGTGGCCTTACTGGCTGCAACAAAGAAGTGTTACATGCACACATCCTGTCTCCAAGAAGCAGCACGCAATGCAGACAACTTCAACATTTCAACATACATTAATATACTGTTATAGAGTTCAAGCTTTGTTCCAACACAAGAAGGAAACTCACCATAAATCATACATTTGACGAAGGTTGACGAGATCGACTGAAAATTTATGGTGAGTTTCCTTCTTGTGTTGGAACTATTTTTATAATGTCTTTTGTATATATGTTAGTTTAGATGTATTATTTTTCTATGTGAATGCTGTTTTTCAAATAATGTGACAAATTGTACCTAATTCAGGGGGATGCGCTTCTGCTCCCCCTGCTGTTGTACATTTGTAAAATGATGAGCAATAAATAAAGTTGAAATCTATAAAATCTATGGATTCTACCAAAGCAGATGAGCTCAAATGCAATAAATATGCGATCTGAAAGTTATGTGTATTTTCGGTTTATTCATAATGGAATCGTCATTATGAAATTCTAAAATGGAATCTATGGCCAGTTTATTATATTTCAGTCCATACAAAAGGTATGAATGAAATTCCCTCATGTTTCTTTTCCAGCCATTTTGTTAAATGGATTCAATTCTTCATTTTTTGGCCAAATGACATGAAATTTTTGCATGAAGGTAGAGTGGCCAAATACCCCAGATGTTTTTATTTTATTTTCATTTTCTGGATACAGACTTTTAAAATTGCTTAATAAACCTTTCTATATATCTATCTATTTTATTCCTAATTTCGGGCTTCTTGGTCTTGTTTGCTAGCCTAGCCACTTGATGGCATTCACCTGTTATCCCTGTCCTTAGGCCACACCAATTTAATTTCTTGGTTAACGGATTTTTCGAGAAAAATAATGGAGCGGGCGGGCGGAAAAAAAATTAAAATAAAAACAGGCCTAGGCATCGTATTATGGCCCAAAATGGTACGATAGGAACCATGACAAGTCAACACACCAGGCTGGTTCAAAATTTAAACAATGAATTTTGAACTTTTAATGATACCATTGCATTGAAAGATGGAATAACTGTAACAAGTAGGAAAAAAGGACTGTTTTCAACTGTTCAGGGCAAAATATGAGCATTTTGCAGTTGATTCTGAATTCTTATTTTTATTTGCAAATCAGAAAAAAATGAAGCAGGCGAATCCGTTAACCAAGAAATTAAATTGGTGTGGCCTTATTGTATTGCCTTATTGCTAAAGTCAACCAACCCATTTATATTTCAAAGAGTCGGACAGTTCATCTCCTATTGCCTCC